GTTAATCCATTAAGTTTTGGGGTGGATTTTACTTAGTACAGGTTGAGTATTCCCTCTCTGAAATGCCTGAGACCAGAAGTGATTTGAGATTTCAGATTTTTATTTAATGTTGAAATATTTGCATATACATAATAAGATGTCTTGGCGATGAGACCCACGTCTAAACATGAAATTAATTTGTTTTATATACACCTTATACACAGAGCCTGAAGGTAATTTTATACAATATTTCTAATAATTTTGTGCATAAAGCAATTCATATATATAGAAACATCAGAAAGCAAAGGTCTCACCATCTCAGCCACTCATGTGAACCATCTGTGGTTGCTTGGTGCCACCATCATTCCTGACTCTGTATTTATATGCTACTGATAAGCAGTCACTTTCTTACATTTATTCACCCATACATATAAGTACTTAATAGTAAAAAATATTGCATGCTACTAAGAGAGAACAAAAGTAATGTGTGCAGGGTAACTAAGCATCACAGCAGCATCACCAGAATACCTGAATCAGCTGTTAGGCAACAACAACAACAAACAATGGCAAACTGAATGAGCTGTGTTGTGCACCTGCATTTTGACTCTGAAAGGAGATGTGAAAATTTACACTTACGGCTTCATATTGGCACTCAAAAAAGTTTGAGATTTCTGAGCATTTTGAATTTCAGATTATGGGGTTAGGAATGCTCAACCTGCAATGGCATCTGAAACAGTCCCCGCATGCCTAGAAATGTGGACAGTACAATTTACTCAGTTGTTTTCTGACCAATTTAAATTTATCCTTTAACATGATACCTTTTATGAAAGTGCACCAAAATTATACCCCAGCAGGTTTAACTATGCTTCTTCTGTGTTTCCACTATCCTAGCATAGATTATATGTATTCAATTTTTATATTTATGTATTTGCCTTGCTAGACTGTGGGAACAAAGACTACATCATATTCACTCTGAGGTCTGAGCATCTAGCACTGGGTCTTGCACACAGAAAGGACTCCAAAATATCCACTGAACTAAAATAAAAATATTGGCCCATTTCACAGTTTTCCATTCATGATTGAGTCAACAGTATTGCAGATGATGTCAAGTAGGGAGCAGTGTCAGTCACAGAGGGAGGAAAAGCAAAGTATGCAACCCAGGGGGATAACAGACACGAACCAGAAGAGTTCAATACTATTTTTGCCAGTGAGGGAGTCAACGTTACCCTCATATGTGCGGTAATGGGTTTTTTTTGCAGGAAAAAACCCAGAGGTTTTCTTCCAATATATTTCATTGTTTTCGTGACAGCCCAGTTTATTGTGAGTGTTTTTACTCCTCAAGGGATTTGGATGGGGTGGAATTGATCCAGAATGACCTGTTATTCTGAAAATTAGAAGTTTGTTGAATATTTTCTTTGAAAATGTTGAAGAAAATGGGCATGTTGAAGTATTCCAGTCTTTGGTATTATATTAGGGACTCTGAATAAGAAAAGGAAATCATCAACTATTACCATTTTTGAGACCAGAAAGTGGAAAAAAAAAAAGCTATAACATGATCTATTTGAACCCAGATAAGATTTACAATTTTGCAAATACTCCAAGGTTTCACACTATTAAAGTTTTTTGACTGGCTTCCACTTAAAAGAATATCCTTTTGTATTTCCTAGGAGACTGTTCAGGAATATTCTAGGTAGAAATTTATAAAGAGTTTTACTTGGAGAAGATAATTTCTTTTTTGTGATTCTGAGCCTCTTCCCCAGTGAAAAACTGGTTTTCTGTGCAACTGTCAGTTTTGACAATTTCTTTTTCGTGATTCTGAACTTCTTCCCCAGTGAAAAGCTGGTTTTCTGTGCAACTGTCACTGTTTCTAGCCATGACATCTCCTCCAGTAATAAGCGGGAAGGATCAACAATCTGAGATACCCTATCTCTCATAGTACTTGATGAACTCTAGTATTATAACTTAGATTTCCAAAGGGAAAAGAAAATTAACCTAGTTCATCTACAACATCATAAAGGACCAGTTTAGGTTTCATCACTGTTCTCCCTGACATCGATTCAGTTTTATCCTAAGGCCAGTTCCCTTTGCTGTCACAGGATGCCCATCAACACCAATACTTCCTCATGATTGTCAACAGCAGCAAGAGACCAGGTGTCCCTGAAGTTTTCCTTTTGTCCAAGAAAAATTTTTACCACAAGCCCCTAGAAAGTATCCTCTCATAGCTCATGGCTTGAAAGTATGTTTCTTGCCTGTTTCTAGGTAAATTATTGCCAACAGGAAAGGCCATATGGTAGAATAGCTTAGGCTGAGTTTTACACCATTCTCCGGCAAGAGGTGTAGGAATGACCATGATCTATATCATATAATCAGGACCCTGAAACTGGAAGTAGGAAGCTCTACAATATGGAAGGGCTAGAATCATTGCTGGAGAGACAAACGGTGTTCACTGAGCATTGCTGCTTACACTACAGCAAATGCCATCAAGTACCTGTGGAGCTGGTTAGATTTTTGATGTGTTACTTCTATCTCACATTTTGTTTTCCCTTGGTCTCTCATGAGGATTATTTAGTAGGAACAAAATGAACTGGCTTCTTCTGCCCTTAAGGGGAAGACAAGCTGGCAGGAACATTTGGCTGGGAAGGTGGATACACGAAGCCCCCTGTTTGAGAATCTGACAGCGGATCCCAAATCAAGATCTTCCTAGAGAAACATGATGCCTCAGAATCTATCAGATTCCCTAAGGGCTTGGGAAGGCTCTCCCCTAGGGATTTCTCTGCCCTTATTGGCCTTGGCTAATATCAGGAGGATCCAGGTGTTTGGCGAGTTGGAGAGGGAGATGGCTTGGCGGTGACTGACTCAGCAAAAAGGCTTCTAAAGAAATGTGCCCAGCTTTCTACTCTCAGAGTCCAGCCTCCACAGCACTTTAAACACTCCCGCCTCATGGCCCGATTAGATGGGAAATACATTTTTTGTTCCAGATATTTATTTAAAAGTTTCATTTTCACTTAATAAATCCACAGCCATGGCATCTGTGGAAGGTTTCCCCAAGTGGTAATTTATGCTTATTGAAGAATTACTTTTGAAAGTGCATGGGCTGCCTGTCACTGAGGGAAATTGTGGCCACTCAGTTTTTAGACTTATTGGCTGTTACAGATTGGGGAGTTGATATATATTTGAAATGTTTATGCCTTCTCTTTCTTGTTAATTATCGATCTAAACCTTTATGGATGCCAAGACATTTGTGAACAAGGCTTTCATTAATCCCCAAGGCTGCAGAGGGGTCTCGGTAATAGAATTCCCAATTTAGAGATAGGCGGGAAACTTGGGAACCAACAGGCTAACTTCTAGGGTCAAGATAGTGGGTCAGCGATGGCAGAACTTCCAGTTTATAACGGGGGCACAGGGTATCTTACTTGCTCAGCAAAGATGACCCTTTGGCTGTAGCTAGGGGACAGTAGCACTGCCCTGCCAAAAACTGAGATGTAGCTACGTCCCTTCACGATGCTCCTGGGGCCTCCCCTACACTAGTGTCCCTATCCTGTGCCCTGATTTAACTTCTACTCATGTGCAGTCTACCTACCGGTGGGTTTGTCATTTCATTCTGAATTCGATATAGAAAATGCCCATACCATTAACTCCCTTCTCTTATTCCATTCTGCTCCTCCTTGCCCGTCTTCCTTCCAACCTCTCACCTACTCACCACCCAAAGGCAGTGGAGGGTCTTAAAAATAGAAACCCCAGCAAGAATCTCTCAGAACTTGGTCATCAGATCATTAGAGCATGAGGAGTCCAAGGTGAGGCATGTTTCTTGATTCTCTCACTGTAAAGTCAGCAGAGGGCCTTAGGTCCAGTCATGTGTCCTGCCGTGGATGAGGCCAGCAGAGGGTCTGAGATCTCAGCCATGGACGGGGCCGGCACAGAAGCTGCACAGCCTGTGGGAGGACACTCACTCCTCAGGAGCACAGAAAGGAGGGAGGAGGAGAGGCCTTTGTTTCCTTTTCCCATTTCGTAATCCTGAGGAACTTTGGGGAGGCTCCGACTCTGCCTACTCTCAATAATTTCCTAAGAGGAGTCACTTGCTAAGAGAAATATTGGAACTGTTTCCTTTCTATATATGATATCACCGTTAACAGTCCAGCTTCCAGAAATATTCTAGTGACTAGACTCAGGCTTTGGGACATTATCAGTATTCTTATTCCCTCTTATTTTCCTGGAGGTCATGACTGAAATGAACATGATGCCACTTAATGAGAATAATGAGAAAGCCGATACCAGAGCCTAGAGATCTTACCTGCCACGGTGGAGAATCAGATGTCCCCTGTGGGCCGTATGGAGCCTGTCTCCAGAATGTCTGCTTCACCCTCTGTGGAGCCTAGAGAAGACACAGCCTCCTTCATAGACTAGAGATGCTGTGTGTCCTGTGGCACCATGTGCTTGCGTGAGGACTAGTCAGTTCTCAGAACTATGCCAGCAAACCTCTCACCTCTGGCGCAGGATGTCAGTCCAGGAAAGGCCCTAAGAACTAACCCTCCTTACTCAAGCCCCGCACTATGTAAGAAATGAGGACTGAGGCTGGCCTCAATTGCATGCTCCTAATAACAAATTCAAAAATGAGGGGGGCCTGGCGGGGTGCTCGCCTCCAGGAGGCCTGTGGTTTTATGTGTGTGAGCAAACACATTTTGTTTAAGTAGACCTTCCTCCTGCCCCCACCCATAGCCCTGCTCCCCTCCACCTCTTCTTTATTCATTGCTAACAGATGCTGCAGAGGCCAGAGACAGGCAAGAGCAGGCCTGCATGGGCTCCCATGTGGGTGAGAAGAGGGAGAACTGATGAGCTGCCACAGAGCAGTGCTGATGAGGGTCTTGGCTTTGAATTTCAGTTTCTCCCTCCTCCTCTCCCTCACCCCCTGCTAACCAGGCCTTCAGACATCCTCTGCTCTGTGTCCTTCACATCTGACAATAGTCCAGATAAAAGAAAGCCTCTGCAAACTGCTAAGAGTTTGGTGTTTCTCCCCACAGCAGCATGGAGGCCAGGGAGCTGCTCTCCAGGCTCCTCCCACAGTGTTCAGCTAAGAGATAAAGAGGAAGAGCCATCCTGTGAACCTAGGCTGGGGAAGCCCCACTGTGCTCAGGGCCACTGTCACCAGTATCAGCAACATGCCATGTCTCAGCAGCCCAAACCACCCTGCACCAGAGACAAAACAGGACAAGACCTGAGAAGGAGGCCAAGAAGGGATACTGACAAGACTGGAGCCAAATCCCCACGAAGACAGCTGTCTCTTGAGCCCCCTTCACATCCATCTGAACACCGTCTGTCCCTCTGACACTGTGCAATGCCACATAAGAGATGTCCCCGTAGTGACGAGTTTGCCTAATGTCCTGCTGGGTAAGTACCACTTTCCTAATTCCTGCCTGAATTCTGACCATCCTCAGGGCATGGGTTAAGGACCTCTTCTCCTTTGAAGCCTATCTTGATCCCTGGTTTGAGATGGTCACTGCTGCTCTGAGCCCTATGACCTGAATTTGCACTCATGGCCTTTACTGTGTCTGCCTCTAATATTCCTCTCAGGGGTCTCCTTTCTCCCACGTCCTAGCCCAGGGCCCAGGGCATGGTAGTTGCTCAATAAATGTGTTTTGGATAAGTTATATCCTGGAAATACTACTGAGCTTTGTATCCGAGACCTTGAATTAAAATCTTGCTCTGCTACACTGACAAGCTGGATACACCTGACTGTGTCCTATAGCAGTATTAAAACGTGGCCTCATCTGAAGGATGGAGGTGATGGTCTCATTACTGCATCCCGCACCATCACTCTTGGTAGGTCAAATGAGAAGCCAGATGTTAAATGGCTACAACAGTTGTACAATACAACTAAATGGGCTTCATAATTGTGCTTTCGCTACTTCCATTTTACTGACCCCTAGTTTTATCACTATTAAAAATGAGTACTAGAAGGAAGGTCCTAGGTTCTTCTGAACAAATTCATTTCAATTTCTCAGTTATCTCCTTCAGAAGGAACTGGTTTCATTTAGCCTCTTCTTGAAATCAGTTTCAGCAGAGTAAGGTGGTACAGATCCTTTAGCTGTAAAACTAAAGAGCTGGGGCCATTCTCTCCGCACCAAGTTGTGACTCACTGTTGTGATCTAAGTGTTCATATATTCTCAGGGGTCCCTGAACCCTCAAAGTGGGCAGAGACCACCTTCTTGGGATCTAACATTATGTGTGTGAAAGTTTAAGAAGTGAATGTGTGCCTCATTTTGGAAAGCTAATATTTGTTTCTTTGTGAGCCCCAAAAGCTGAGCTAGCTGTTTGGCTTTTCATGAGATTTGAAGTTACTTTCAGGGCTTCCTGAGGGAGAGCAAAATGGAACAGAAAATTAGCAGAGATATTAAGGACCAGAGGAAAACACAGTAACAAGAAATGGACAGGAGAAATGTGGTACAGGGCACATCCAGATCCCATCTCACGCATAGGCCTGGATGGAAACACAGGCTTCTAAGTTGGGGCTCTTGAAAATGTTGCTGCAATCATGAGGAAGATTTACTGGCTTTTGGTCAAAGCATTAACTAAGAAGCCAACCTTGGTATCCAGAGCATTATTTTCTACACCAGATAACAGAAATGGAGGGCCAGTTGGCTTGCTGTATCTTTGGTTATCACTTCCTACCTAGGGTTTCGTGAACTCCCTTGCCCTGGCAACAGACTTGCAGGCTTGTCCCTCCATAGACAGACCTGAGTACTACTCTGAAGACCATGGGGAAGGACAGGATATGTTTCTGCCCATGGGGATGAAACTCACCCAGAAAGCCCAGCCTACTTTTCTGCCTTCCAAGCATATTCGGCTGGCAGAATTATAAACATTTTTGGTCACTAGCCATTGACTTTGGGGGTTCTAGAACAGAAGCATGAATAGTGATTCTTAGGTCTCAAGAACTGAGAAACATTGTCTTCAATATGCAGTTGCTGAGCCCTCCTTGCCAGGAATTGTCCCCGGCCACCCCTTCCAGCAGACCCATAGCAGAGTGCATGTCCCTGCTGTGTTCTCTCACATCACCCCATGGTGACCTCCGCCTCTGAATTTATTACATGGGGCTGAAATTATGTGTTAACTTCTCCATCTTCCCAAACAAACCATAACCTTTTAGAGGTCAGGGGTGCTGCCATATGACCAGTTCAGGTGGCCCAATCTTGCTTTGTGACCTAAGAGCTTAACAAAGTGTCTGGAAGTTAGCAGGTGCTCAGTACATGTTTGTGAAAGGGAGGAAGGAATGGCCAAACTCTTTCGGGAGCCAGGAAGTTCCAACAGAAGTGTAGAAGGACTATTGGACCTCCAGAATGCAAGAGGCTTCCAGCCAAGAAAATATGCCTGTAATCCTAGCACTTTGGGAGGTCGAGGCAGGAGGATCACTTGAGCCCAGGAGTTCGAGACCAGCCTGGGCAACATTGTGGGACCCTGATCTCCATAAAAAATACAAAAATTATCTGGGCATGGTGGCACACACTTATAGTCCCAGCTACTCAGAGGCTTAGGCAGGAGGATTGCTTGAGTCTGGGAGGTTGGGGCTTCAGTGAGCCATAATTGCACCACTGCACTCCAACCTGGGTGATAGAATGAGATTCTGTCTTGAAAAAAAAAAAATTATCAGTAATAACAAAATAAATTTGTAGATAGATGCATAGAGAGAGAGTCTGATAAATAGATAATAGTAATAACACCACATGAAATGTACTGGGCATTAAGTCTGTGTTAAGCATTTTGCAGGCATCCTCTCATGTAATTTCCCCACAGCACTATGAGGTTTGCAGTATAACCCAGTTGCGTCAGTGCGGGAATGTGGTCCTGAGGAGCGATCTACATCGCTCCCTACAGAGACTCTCCCTACAGATCTTCTGTCCATGCCTGGAGTGATTCTTAGGGGTCAATGGAGGGATGCCTCTCAGATCTTGCTGTTTACTATGTGTCCACCATGTGCCAGGCAATGGGGTGGGCCCTACATATGCATTCTCATTGAACCTCACGGGAATCCTGAGGGAGGCATATTACTATCAATAACACCTTGATAAATGAAGAAATCGAGACTTAGAAATGGGAAAAAATTAAAATGAGTCCAGGCTACAGGCAGTTCCACAGAATCTGGCATACAGTTGTCACTCACTAAATATGTATTGGATTAAATGAAATGGAATTGAATGGAGTATTCTCCACAAAGGTGAACTCTATTTTCTGGTGCTTCATTTCGCCAGACCTGGCAGATTGCCACCCGCAATCTCCCTTTACGAGGCTGCACTGTGCCTTGGGAGCCGTCTAAACAAGCAAGAACAGGAGCAGTACCTCCCACATGAAGGAGAGTGTGTGGCGGTCATGAATTTGGGTTGAGGCTGTGGCCAGTGGGCCACAAAATTTCATCAGCCTTGTAAAGGGAGATATATTTATGCAAAAGACTTGCCAGTTGGACTGCATGGGGCTCTTTCTCCCCATAACACCTTAGGAAGGCAGTTCTGTGGTACCAGGGTGGCTGACAGCCAACCCAGCCCAGCACACGAGTGGAGAGTTGTCAAATACATCTGTATATCTGACCCAGTGGCTTGCGGCACTTAGGTGCCAGGGGCTCCAGCAGCGATCCAGAGAAGAACGAGGAAATTGTGTTAAGTCACTGAAAATAATTTGCTTTAAAAAAGTGTATGTATTGGTTGTCTCCTACCTAGAAATCTCTCTCAGTGGGGGAATAATTTTGGATTTCTATAGCTAACTTGGAAATGAGGACTTATAATATTTTTGGTTGGTAACACCAAAAGTCTGTGCAGTTTAATATCACCAGATTTAATATTAAAATTGGAATGTGGGGTCTAAATGGTAATTCAAACAATTATAATTATATATTAAATACACTGTATTTTAATTATATAATTGCATATTAATATTTGTATACTGACTGTTCGTATTAAATATATAATATGTTAACATAATTATATATTATATAACTATATATTAATTATAATATATGTAATACCATATATCAACATAGTACTTGTATATTTGTATATTGAATTGTATATTATATTGTACATACAAATTAGCATCTGCATGTGTTTGTATATTCTGTTAAATATTCAATATATAATTTTATAACAAAAATTGTCATAATATTGTAACTGACATATAACTGGAGCATGACATATGTCAGTTCACGAGATTCCAGTGCATGAATCTTTCTGAGAACCTTGTCATGCCTCATTCAGTCATAAGGTTGGTTTATAGACAACAAGATTGGCAGCCCCACCCTTTGGACTATTTTTCTCTTCTCTTGAATATGTCAAAACATTACAAATGTCAGCAATTTCCATCCTCGTGGCTCAGACTGGCTCAATAATCAGTGACGTCTCCAGCTACACCATAAATGCTGGGAGAGGTAAATGCAGAAAAGAGGAGTACTTAAGACCTGAAAGCAATTATTGTCAAAACAGGTAATCCCTTTTGTTTTCGCAACTTTTGTACAGAAAGTCCTTATCTGCTACTGTTCCCCGGGCACCAGAGTCTGTTTCCATCTTAGAAGCAAGCAACAGCTTACACCAAGCTTTTGTTGACATAAATTCCACGTTGCCTGGTGCTTTTGTTTGTTTCACACATAATCCACATTTTTGTTTCTTATGTGCATTTTTCATAGTCCTTCCTGAAGCAATGTCCTGGCTTCCATCTGGGACTACCCGTCTGGGGTCAAGGTCCCTGCAGATAACTGGGTTGTGTGTTGATGGAACACTCAGTGGGATAGAGCTGACATATTAGGCACTAAATTCCTGCAATACAGAAATTAAAAATCATCTTGCATCAGACCCTAAAACAAACATGAAAATGAGCAATAGCTCAGGTAGCCCAGCCCTAAACACACAACAGAGTGAAATTAGCTTCTTTTCTATTCTTTTCTGAAGAAGTTTTTACAAGGTTATTATGAGAAAGAGGAAAGAAAACGTGCACTTGGGATGATTCTTAAATGCAGCCCCAAGGGGATAAGAAAGAGGGAGAGAACATATTTTGTATTATTGGTGGGACCCATGGGCATTAGTAAGCTAAGTGACTTGTCACAAATCCTTAAACCTTCGAGGAACTGTCCTGAAAGTGAAGATCACTTTTCTATCTTCCAGCTCCAGAATACTTGAGTCGAGCTTCTAAACATAGCTTTTTTTATTTATGGCAAATTCCATGATACATGCCCACTTTGTGAATGTTTCAAATGCCAAGACTACAAGAAACCTCAGAAGCTGCTTACTCCAACTTCGTACACAGTACAGGGCTCTGTAGCATGTCCAACAAACAGGCACCCTGTTAATAGGGCACTCACTGTCCCACTATGTTGCCCATTTTCTTATTCAGTGCTCCTCTGTGACCAAGTTCCTCTTTATGATGAAACCAAGTGCAAGACTCTCCTTCTTCTATTGATGAGTACAGATTCTGCCTCAAAGTCACAGGGAACAAATCCCTTCCTGTAACCATAGCTGGATTGCATGATGATTATCAGCATGAGTTTTACACTCATTCTGTCCTGGGTTCAAGTCCCACCTCCACCACTGATATAGTTTGGATTTTTGTCCCTGCCTAAATCTCATGTTGAATTGTAATCCCCAATGCTGGAGGCAGGGCCTGGTGGGAGGTGTTTGGATCCCTCACGGCTTGGAACTGTCTTCGTGATAGTCAGTTCTTAGAAGATCTGGTTGTTTAAAAGTATGTGATACCCTTCTGCTGACACTCTCTCTCTCTCTTATTCCTGCTTTTGCCATGTGAAGTGCCTACTTCCCCTTTGTCTTCCACCATGATTGTAGCTCCCTGTGACCTCCCAAGAAGCTGAGTTAATGTTGGCACCATGCTTTCTGTGCAGCCTACAGAACTGTGAGCCAATGAAACCTCTTTTCTTTAAAAATTACCCAGTCTCAGGTTTTTCTTTATAGCAATGCAAGAATGGCCTAATACAGCCACTTATCTCCTAACTTTGGTCAAATTACTGAAGTTTTCTAACTCTCAATGTGTCTAGAATATAAGTACAGTATCAGGATCTATCCCATAGGTAAGGTTTGTTGTTCAGGAGCATAATGGTGGGGGGGAAACATGCCAGAGAAGGATTATTGAACCATGAGTCAGAAGACTTGGTGCATTGTCCTGGCTTTGCCCAAGGATAAGCTGTGTGACTTGTGCGAGTCACTTAACCTTACAACTCATTCCTCCCTTTTCTAAAGTGTCCTTCATAACACTGGCCCTGCCTATTAGCATCCAGGTGCTGTTACAGGGATGTAAGCACATGACTTTCACATTCATGCACCTCTCTCTGAGTTTATAATGCAGCTCTACTGCAGGTCTAAGCAAACACTTGGTGTTCAATAAAAGCCTGTGAACTAAATTGCACCCGTGCTTTCTGAGTGAAAGATTAGGAACTGTGGGCTGAGAAGGGAAGAGGCTGATCAGGTGAGGTTTATGATTTGGCAGGCTATCTGGGGGGATAAAGTCCATAGAAAGCAGAAAGTATGTGTTTGAGCTGCAGGAGACAGATCTGGGATATAGGAAAGGATTTGGGTGTTACCCGTTGTGAAAGACCTGGAAGATCCAAAGTGATGAAAAAAGCAGATCTCTGGGCTCCGGAAGGTACTTAGTGGCTGTCTCTGTGGTGCTGATGAAAGGAGTTTCCCGGAGAGGTAGGTAAAGAAAGACCTACAATACTGAGTTCAAGCGGACTGATAGGCTGGAATGGGGCAAGCAGCCAGGGGGAGAGAAGATGGGCATAGACCTGGCCAGGGGTGGTTTTTCAGCAGAGGAGTTGTCAACAGAAACTCAATGCTGCAGTGTTTAGGGAAAACAAGGCAAAAAAGGAAATTGTCAGAAGACAGAATACAGGGCCTTGCAGTCAATTTCCTTCACTTATTTTTAATTCTCCAATTTCACTCCTCTTTCAACACTCAGTTCAAGACCAAGTTCAAATTTAACCTCCTCCAGAAAGCCTTCCCTCATCTCTAAAAAAACTCCAAGGAATCTGTCCCTCTCTAAAGTTGCCACAGGAATGTCGCTCTGTACAAATCATCTAGGAATTACCAATATAAAAACATAACTTCTGAACAACTGATCTATTATTGTCCTAAAATAAAGTTATTTAACATTTCACAGGTAAAATACATTATATTCCCCATTCAGCCACCTAACATCTCCCTAGAACACATAGCAAGGGTTGCATAAAAGGGAATTCTAGCTCCTGTCACTTTTGCCTTCTGACTTCTGAGCTGTGTAAGTGGCCCCTCCACTCTGTCTTACTTACAAGCCTGAAATAATGTTCAGCATCTTTTCTCTGGCAATGACTGTGCCTCCTCTTTTGTTCTTCCTCAGTTTCCTCATTGGTAGGCTGCAGCCCTTATACCACTTCATGGAAAGCTTCTCCACCAAGCTGCCTCAAGAAAGAAACCAGACATCTCTCATGAGACTGCATACTCTAAGGAGAGAATCGAGGTCGAGCTCTGTGCCTCTGCATCGCCTACCATGTGTACAGCAGAGCCTTCCACAAGCTGGCACGTGATAAAGGTTGCTAAGTTTAATTTACCTTTAAAGAAAGTGGCAAAACTCCAGTGAAAGGAGCAGTGTGTGTGCAATTTGAGGCCAGAAATGAATTACTAATTAGTTTCTCTCAGTTATAACAATGGGTCTTGCACACTGAAGGTGCTCAGTAAATATCTATCACATAAAATCTAGCAACCCAAGGCCAAAGAAATAAATGTTGAATCCCCAAAGTGAACAAGTGGGTAGGACACAGCTAAGGAAAAAAAGCAGTTACTGATGATGAAAACAAACGTACAGTAGGCAGAGCTCCCTCCCTTAAATATTGGCCTCCCTTACACAATATAATAATGAACAGCTGCTACTCTCCTTGAACCTCTGACCTCAGTCTTCCATGATGAAAGGCGTCTTAGTGCTCTGCTGTTTTCAGCAGGCCAGAAAGGTCATTAATGGGAGGTAAAGAGGAGTGACCAGGGCTGGCCATCACTTCGAGATCACCTTTCTATCTACCATTTGCCTATTCCAGATACCGCCATTGGAATGTTTTTGAAACAGAGGACTCCAACCCTGATGAAGAGTCATTTTGTTTGAGTTCAGTTACGTCTTGGCTTACTCCATTCAAAAAGATTCATCTGTTTATCACACTGTGGACTGAGATGAAGGAGCAGCCCCCGGGACGAAAGAAAACACAGCGTGGTGAATAATCTCCACCCTCAAAAGGCACAGTCATTCCAAAAAGCCACGTGCTCTGTTTACTTTCAGCCATCACTGTACCCACATTCCCAGCCATAATATTCCACTTTCAAATATGTTCTTTCCCCATCATACACATTTATCCCATATTAGCCTCACATATAAGTGCCAACTTCATATTTTTGTTCATTTTTATAACAATTATTTATTAAATGCCTTCTATGTACCTGGCACAGTGCTAAATGCTTTCTCACAGGTTATACCACTGAGTCATCATATCAATGGCTACAAGGTGACTATTGCTATCTCCGTTTTACTACTGAGGAAACTAAAACACAGAGAAGTGAAGTCACTTACCTGAGGTTTCACAGCTAATAAATAATAAAATTAGATTAGAATCCACATTTTCTGAAGCTAAGACCAGTTTTCATTGTACCACACTTGCTTTTAACAAGTGTATAATTTTTAAGAACTAGTAATTATGCATAATAGTTATAAATTATGAATCCCAGGGCAGGGAAGATGTCTATGGTTTTATATATTACATTTATTAATTTAGCTGTAATCATTTTAGAGTTTAGAGCAGATATGAAACTTTGCAGTCAATTCCATTTGGTATTCTGCCAGTTATTCACTTGTCCTAGCAACATTTCTTTTTTCTTTTACTTTTTTTTGGGGGGGGACAGAGTTTTGCTCTTGTCACCCAGGCTGGAGTGCAATGGCACAATCTCGGCTCACTGCAACCTCTGTCTTCCAGGTTCAAGAGATTTCCTGCCTTAGCCTCCCGAGTAGCTGGTATTATGGGCGCCACCACCACACTCAGCTAATTTTTGTATTTTTAGTAGAGATGGAGTTACACCATGTTGGCCGGGCTGGTCTCGAACTCCTGACCCCAGGTGATCTGCCCACCTCTGCCTCTGCAAGTGCTGGGATTACAAGTATGAGCCACTGTGCCTGGCACTTAGCAACATTTCTAACACTCTTTTTCTTTGAATATCTATGTCAAAATACTGTCCACGCCCCCATCTCTTCTGCATCTCCTCCTCAACACATGTGAACACCACCTCTTCCTTCTTCCACTTGCAGTCACAGGACAGATTTGCAGAGTTGGTGATGCTAAACCACACATATTAGGGATTCAGATGGATGAAAAGTATTTTTTTAGGTTCTAAATAATGTGTATTGGAATTTAACAAAAATGGAGCCTATAGTTATAACCACATTAGGGAATGAACCGGGTTCCCAGCAAACTAAGACTAAAGACTATGCAGGTGGTGTGTTTAGATCTTCACTTCAATCAGTTCTGACGTAAATCTGGGAATAAGTGGCTATTCCCTGGCCCAATCATCTGGCCTATAATCTAGTGGGTTTGGGATATGTGCAGTTTGGGCTGAAAAATTTGAAGTGTCCAATAAAAACAAGAGCTTAAAATGGGAGACACTGACACAAAGTAGTGTGAAAACATACTCTGTTCCAATAAAGACAGCTGAAAAAATTCTCCTTTTTGTAACATTGAATAAAAGCAATGACATATTTGGTCTCACACTGAATTCATAAAAACGGTGGGGATTTTTTGGTGTTTTGTTTGTTTGTTTGTTTTTGTTTTTTTGCAGAGGGTAAAAACATTATTCGGTGTCATTTTCCAGCAACAAATGCTAGCATTTCACAACAGGTGAACTTTGGAAACCTGAGAGAGCAGAGAGAGAGTGTCATCTCCCTAACAACAGAACTTTGGGTTCCTTCTCAATATTCACACCAGAAACTTCTGCAGGCCAGTTTATTCTTCTACATTGTTTCTGCCTGTTGTGAATTAAGTTTGAAATACCTTCTCCTGACATGTGGCATTTCACCTTGGTGCTCTTTCTCCATACAAAATCTTGCCATCTGTTTTGAGGCAACTTGGCATCGGAATCTGATTCCGCTTGGAAACTTTAGGATGAAACTGGTCTTCGATGCACATTAATCTCAACTAATCCTGCAGGTGGACACATTCACCAAGAGCCTCTCACTGCCTGATGTACAAGTGTCCTCAGCATGCAAGCTGCAATCACACCATTGACTCCACTCCAATGAGCTCCTCTCTCTTGAACACCCCACGCTCCCTACCCTGCTGCTGGGATGGGATCCCTTGACTTGTTTGCATATTTTAGCCTGCTCAGGCTCCTGTTTAGCATTTGTTTTTCTTGGCATTTCAAAGCATTATGTTCATTTTTATTATACCCTTGACAGACCAAATCCTAGTGCCAGCAGGCCACAATGAAACAAACACTTACAATTTATAGAAGAAATTCAGATTCTATTTTCCATGAAGCCTAGAAGTTTCATCGCCTGGTAAAATACTGCAGTCAGGACAGTAGGCTCCCACTATACTTATGTGACCTTCAGAACTGCCTTTTATGTTTAAGTCAATCTCTCTCTCTCTCTCTCTGTGTCTCTCTCTTTGCATGTACACACAGCTCTATTCAAAGCAAACTCTGGTACAGATGCCTGTTAACTTTCATAATATAGCCACAAACCTAGCTGCTGAACATTTTAGCACTGAAAACCAGCTGTTATCTTTAAACAGCTATGAAAGTCTGAGTTCCAATCATTCCAATTCTGTCTGTACAAGATATGGATTTAGGCTGCTTACTCACAATTCTTTCTTTACTGTTAGACAATTTTCCCTAAAGACCTAAGACCCCGAGGGATCTTTGGGCCCAGCTGTATATGTATTCTCTCACCAAAACATCCTACCTCCTGAAAATCTCCATCTGAGCTTGGACACTGCTCTCATTACCCACTTGTCACACAGCCACCAGTGGGTACCTTCAGGGCACATATGAGATTATCATTCCTGTGCTTAAGGCTATGGGTTCCCCAAAGAGCATGAAACAAGAGCCTTACTCCTAAAAAATGAATCTAGCTAAGAGGTAACATCTTATAACAGCTAGAATAATCAATACACATTCTGTATTCTACTGATATTCATAGTCATCAAGTTTAATGAATACTCTGCAAATTTTATTGGTTATGAAATATCTAATAACAACTCATGGAAGATAGAAAGTTATGACGAGGTAGGGATACACAATGGATTTCTGGAAGGCTAGTAATGCTAGTAATATAGTAATATGCTCTTTTGTATCTAAGTGGGCATTCCATGGATATATGCTCTCTACTAATTTGTTGAAATCATCTACCATGGCCTGACAGCTGAGCTATAAATAATTTTATAACTAAAAAGAAAACTGGATGATCTGAATCTTGTTGTTCCTCGGATAGTTTCCAACATGGCAGGGAGGTTCTTCTTAGAGTGGTCACCAGCCTTTAACTCATCTTTTGCTGGGGTCAGAGGCTTGTGTTTCTGAACTTCACACAACACTGTCAGACTCTCCTTCCCGGAACGCTGCTTCTTTAAAACTACAGCCTGCTATAGAACTGAAATGTGCTCTCTCTCTTGCCCAGGGCATTGTGCCCCAACTTCACTAAAAGACACCCATAAGATCTAGCTTCACATCTGTGATGGTTAATTTTATGCATCAACTTGGGGAGTGTTTCTGGATGAGATTATCACTTAAATAAGTGAACTATGAGTAAGCAAATTTCCTCCATCATGTGGGCAGTCCTCATTCAATTGATTGAAATTCTGAATGGAACAAAAAGGAGGGTCTTCCTAAGCGAGAGGGAATTCTCCAGCAGCCTGTCTTTGGACTCCATCTGTACCTCCACCTTCATCTGCACCATCTTCATCTGTCAGGTCTCGGCCTGCTGGCTTTCAGACTGGAACTGCACTATCAGCAATGCTAGATATCTAGCCTGCTGGGCCACATTGAAGACTCTGTGCTCACCAGCCTCCATAATTGCATGAACCAATTCCTTACAACAAATCATATTCGTGTGTGTGTGTGTGTGTGTGTGTGTGTGTGTGTGTGTGTATAATCACATCCTCTTGGTTCTCTTTCTCTGGAGAACCCTGACTAATACAATATCCATTGCTGCATAACAAGTTACACCAAAACTCAAAGACTTAAAACAACCAATATTCATTATCTCATAATTTCTGTGGATCATAAGTATAGGTGCAGTGTATCTGGGTCCTCTGCTTCAGTCTCTCACAGGCTGCAATTAAGGTGTCTGCCATGCCTGCGGTATCACCTGAAAGCTTGTGTGGGGAAGACTCTGCTTTGAAGCTCATTACATTGATCTCAGTAAAATTCAGTTGCTTGTGCACTGTTATGATGAGGGGCTCAATTATTCTCTGGCTGGTGGCCAGAGACCACCCTCTGTTCTTAGCCACATGGTTCTTTCCATAGGGAAGGTCACGACATGGTGGCTTGCTTCATCAG